TCAAAGGTTCGCACCGTCCGTCCATCTGCTCGTCGTGCGTACACGCAGCCCATCCACTTTCTCATGCTCTTACTCTTGCTCTTTTTCCCGCAGTCGTTCGTAAAAATATCTCCTCGCTTTCTTTCTCTCTCTCTCTCTCTTTGTCTCTTCCTTTCTATCTTTCGTATTAGCTTTGCGGCCAGATGAAAAAAATGGATGGGCGGAACGAAATGGCAGGGGATGGCGAAAGTAGTGCGGGAAAGAGAGTGGAAACATCGTTCGCGAAAGCTTATTTCCACGCTCCTTCGGCAAGAACGGATAGGTCTTCTTTATCACGCTCGCAATATACACCACGAAGGTGGTAGCTGCTGCTCGCAAAGGTATCCCGGATACGAAGCACGCTGCTTTTAGAAATATCGTTCACCTCCTACCGACGACGGCGCCCACGACAACGACGACGACGACAACGACGGCGGCGGCGGTCGGCGCGCTCGACGGGTGGTCGTCGCGACGCGTATTCGCGGGACATGTTCTTGCCTGCGCGTTGTTGTTTCGCCCGCGGTATGAGCCGACTTTCCTGACGGCAACAAACTTCGCGCGAGAGTAAACGCGCTAGTCAAACCGTGACGGAACGATGTGCCCCTTTTTAGAGCTCGCCGGTATTCCCCGCATTTCCTCCCCGTTTAGCGCGTCGCATTGAATGTCGCGATATCTCGCGTGAACGTAACTCACGAATTACTCTCTCGTTGCGGACTGAAACGAGACGAATGATCGGCTGCGATGAGCGTGTCGGATTTATGCGCCAAGTATAAGAACAATGATGCGGGGGCGCGAACATCGCACTCGCGTGATGAATACAATAAACGCGGAGCGGTATATCAATGCATATGAGACGAGCACATCGTGCCACGATGCAATGCGATCGCGAAACTGGCCTTCTTCATACGCAACGACGACGAATTATCTCTCTCACTGCGCCAATATTGATTAAACGTTACATTATATATCGACACCGTATCAGTTGCATAATGAGCGACGGCCAGCTCCCGCGGGATCGATCCGTCACAAAGAATTCGCGCGCGAATGTGCCCAGTAAAGGCAACGTTTGGCAATCCCACGCGAATTATTGTACACACGCATATACAAGCCGTACATCTACGATCCGTTTGGTTGCCTTTCATCTGTTGCTTCTGCTAAATACACTCTGTCACACACACATACATGCACACACACTCGCAGGGAATCGCACAATCGAAATAAGCAAACCTGGAAACAACTCTACAGAGTGGCGATTCATCGTATCGCCGAATGCAATTACGGGATTATTATTCACGAGGTGTCACGGAGCGCTCAATTCTCTACGCTACGTTGCGCTACGCAAATAATAGGATCGCGCGCGTCTACGGATCTTCTCCGAAGAGGAATGTTTATTTAACAAAAACATACGATTCTCTCGAATGTATTGATATTCGCGTGTGACGGAATCGAAGCTGCAGAACACCGCTCGATATATATCGTCCCGCGAAACGTTCTCGAATTATCAGATATTCGTCGCGCGTTTACTTTTTCTCGCTGTACCGCGCTTACGAGCACTCGTAAAGTCGCAAATGATAGTTTTATAGTAACTGCCTTCTGCGAGAGAGAAAAAAAGAAGGAGGGAGAACGAGAGAGGCGCTATCCCGATCACCTCCGTGGGTGACCTTTGCTCTCGCGCAAAATATTCACCGGTTCCGCTCGTGTCTGCTAGTGAAGGATTCCTTAACAGTATTGTCGGGAGAGAGACGGGTGCGAGAGAAGGCGCGCCATTTTCAGCACGTTTGTCCTCGCATAGAAACACCCTTTTACGATTCCGCCAAGCCCTGCGAATCACCCTCGGGAATTCAGGTTTTATAGACCTTTTGCTGCACGAGCGAGGCCGCTCGGACCAGAAAATTACGCGGCACTGTGTTCCGCCGTGTTCAAATGGAATCTTTAACGAAACGATTTAAGCGGTTCGCGGATTTCCCCGCGTACGTGTCCGGCGCCGCTATTCCGCGCGCACGAATCGTATTTATATTTAACGTATTCGTCGTCTATTATGATCGTAGCAAATTCCCATTTCCCGCTTTATTCTTTGCGCGACACGCCGTTCTTCGAGAAAAGAAGAAAAAAGAGAACTAAAGAGCAAAAGAGAGAGAGAGAGAGAGAGAGAGGGAGATGATTTGCGTAAAGTTAAAAAGTTCACCGCGCACACTTGCGACACGCGACATTTCCGGACGTTTTTCTGTTTATCCTCTCCGCCTCACGGTGCAGGACGTTTTCGTAAGGATAGAGGGATAATTGAAAGACCCTTGCGCGCAACGACGCACGGAATAGTTCTGAGTTATGAGGAAATTAGATTTACCAGACAGAAGTTAGGAGATGAAAATGGAAAAAGCTGACTCTGAAAGCTTTCGGATGTAGCTGTTTAAAGTGCGTCAGGTACACCAATTCACGGGTAGGCAAATCCACTCGCGCGCAAATCGGGTCATTGGCTTACAATTTCTTTTCCTTTTCTCCTCCCCATCTGTCTTTAGGTGCGAAGCGCCGGAAGTCAATAATACTCAGTCATGCTAATCAAGCCCGCAGCCTCCTTCGACGTATTATGCCGATTCATACGTGTGTGTGTGTGTGTGTGTGTGTCTGCAACGCAGCGTCTGAGTTGTCATAATCGCGACATATTTACCGTTATCGAGGAATATCAAATTCTCCCGCGATAATATAGCATTCCATTTGTGCTCGGTTTCCATTTATGGGATCAAAAATAAAAAGAATTGGAAAAAAGAAATATCATTCGATATTTATGAACGCGAATCTCAATAAAAAAATCTCATCTCATACATGGACAGGAGACAAGCAGAATAACAAACAAGAGTCATCGTCGAACGAATGCGTCACTGAGAATATGTCATTGCAAAAATTATTCTGTAAATGCGATGATATTTAATAAGACCTTTCGGGATTCTGAGAAAGAAAGAGAGAGAGAAAGTTGAGAGAGAGAGAGAGAGAGAGAGAGAGAGAGAGAGAGGGGGGGGG